ATATATATATATATATATATATGGGTCTATACGTATACCTAACGATATTTATATGTATATATATATGGGTCTATACGTATACCTAAACATATATATATATATATATATATATATATATGTATATACATTTACGTATTCTCTCAGTCCTGCATTGGTGCAGATTTAGGGTTTATGGTTCAGGTTTTAGGGTTTAGGGTACAAGGGTTTAGGGTTAAGGATATAAGGGTTTAGGGTTTAGGGTTTAGGGTTTAGGGTTTGGGGTGTACCAGTAGTTGGATAAGAGTTGAGAGAAGAGGGGCCATTCCCTCTTTGTTAGGGCACCCCACATTTTATGATGCATCACTCGCTGAGCAGCAAGATGAGTTTTAATTGTTTTTAGAACAGAAGTACTACCCCCTTCTGTTGCTGCTGCTGTTGCTGCTGTTGCATTTGCTGCTGCTGCTGCTGCTGCGCATGCTTTTTCGACTGCTTCTGCTGCTGTTTCTGCTTCTGCTGCTGCTGTTGTTGCTGCTGCAGCTGCTGCTGTTTGTGCAGCAGGGGCCCCTCGCTGCAGCGGTAGAGGGATATGAGGAGGTGGTAGAGCAGCAGCAGCAAATAAATCTGCTTCTTTCTTTTTATATTTACTTCGAAATGCGGCAGGAGGAAACATTTCAAAATGACGGCGGGATAGACAAAAACCAGAAGATAAGCAGCGGGTGGGGGCCCCTGGGGGCCCCCTAAACCCCATATAAACAGCAAGGGGCCCCCAGTGACCCATTCTAAACCCTAAACCCTAAACCCTAAACCCTAAATCAAAAGGAGAAGGCAGCTAAGGAGGGGGCCCCTCCCCTTAACTAAAAGCGATGAAGAAAATGCATTAAATGCAGCAATCAACAAAACAAAGAGTATTTTCTGCATACACCAGTAATAATTAAAATGTATGTTAAAATAAACACGACATAAAATAATATAAGACAAGCAAATATTAACACCTCCTAAATGCTTATAATCAACAATCACGCATGGGGCCCCCCAGGGGGCCCCCTTTATGGGGGCCCCTTCTGGGGGCCCCTCTATGGGGGCCCCCTCTGGGGGCCCCTCTATGGGGGGCCCCCCTTCATAGGGGTTGATGGTTTAATTTTATTATATTTCTTTGATTTTGTTTGTTTTATTTTTTAATTTTTAGATATTTTTTGTTTGTTTTCGTTTAAAGTGTGGGGTGGTGGAGTTTGCGGCAGTGCGTCGATGGTGTTGACGCATGCAGAAATAACATTTTTTAATAAATAAATAAATACTCTACTGCATTATTATTGTTTTTTTAATTATAATTATTACTTTTAGCGTTGTTTTAGATGTCTGTACACCTCAAAAGAGAAGATGATAGACTCACAAACACTTCAACTTAACTTTCTGGTGCTGCATGCACCCTCTGCTGCCCCAACGAAAGTTGGGGGCCCCCAGACCAAGGTGTATAGACAGCTCTGCAGCAGCAACAACAACAACGCTGCAGCAGCTTCTGCAGCAGCCTTCGAAGCAGCTGCTGCCGCCAATGGTGCAGCAACAGCAGCACCAACAGCAGAAGAAACAGCAGCAGCAGCAGCAGAAGAAGCAGCAGCAGCAGCAGCACCAGGAGCAACAGCAGCAGCAGCAACAGCAGCAGAAAGGGTTCGTACTCGGGGTGTATCATTTGTACAGTTTCACTTTGATGTTTCTGCAGCAGCTCCCCCACCGCTGCAGATTGGGCAGAGCGCTGCTTCCGCCCTTCAACAAGTTTGGGGGGGGCCCCCCTCCTCTGGGGGCCCCCCCTCATATGGGGGGCCCCCCTGTTCTGTGGGGCCCCCTGGTTCTGTGGGGCCCCCCTCTACTACTGGGGGGCCCCCCTGTTCTGGTGGGGGGCCCCCCTGTTCTGTGGGGCCCCCCTTCGCTGGGGGGCCCCCAGGGGAGGGGGGCCCCCACGAAGAGGAGTATGAAGGGGAGGAAGAGGATAGGAAGAGGGTTTTGTTAGAGGAGCTGCAGCAGACAGGGTTTGTGAATCAGCAGCAGCAGCAGCTGCTGCTGGGGGCCCCTATTGCGAGATGGGGGCCCCTGATGCCGTCTGTTGCTGCTCGATATTGCAAAAGAAAGTTTGCAATAAATTATAAAGGAGAAGAAGGAGCAAATTATGTGCTGTACATACACCAGAATGGGTAGGAAAGTAATATTATTTGTTTTAGGTTTTGTATTATTTGTTTGTCTTGTGCTTTTGCTTTATCGATGGTTGTTTAATTCCTCGTATTATGACAATATATTATTTATATCTTATTTATTTATTTATCTATTTATTTATTTACTTATTATTTTATTTGTGGTTTGCTGTCTTAGCAGCATTTGTCTTTGCTGCTGCTCCCCCGTCACAGTAGCAACTGTAGAAGAAGCTGCTGCTACAGCTGCTGCTGCTGCATGTGCTGCTGCTGCTGCTGCAGCTGCGCATCTGTTGCAGTTTGCTGCTGCTTTCTGTGCATGCAGGCTGCTGCTGCTGGGGCTTGCCCCGTCTCACTTCCTTTTGCGTAAGGCCCGTGCATTGCTAGAAGAAAGGAAGCAGAAGGAGACAACAATAATAAATAAAGAAATAAACAAATTAATAATTAACAAAGACATACACCCAAATGATCAGCAGCAAACGCCACCAGCATCTGCTGCTGCTCACCCTGCAGCAGCAACTGCAGCAGCAACAGCAACACCAGCAGCAGGAGCTGCAAAAGCAGCAGCAGCAGCAGCAACAGCAGGTGCAGCAGAGGATTTGAACCCTTTACTAGGAGAGGACCTCGCTGCTTCGGGTGTACAGTCAGCAGTTCTGCTGCAAGACAGCAGCAGCAGCAACAACAACAGCAGCAGCAGCAGCAGCCCCTATATGCATGCAGCTGAACCCATTCTTAAAGCCAAGTTTAGAGAAGACGCTGCTGCTGTTGCTGCAGCAACAAAACGAAAGAAGGGAGCAATGCAGCTCCACCCCAGCATGCGGCTCGGCATCATTACTTGTGTTGCTGCTGCAGCACCGCATGCAGATGAACAACCTGTACGTACACCCCAGCAAACCCCACAAAACAACCAGCAGCAGCAGGAGCAGCAGCAGCAACAACAACAGCAACAACTTCCCCTCGTTAAACCCCAAGAGCGCCATCAAAGACGGCACAAGAGGGGCCCCCAGGGGCCCCCAGAGGGGCCCCCAGAAGGGGCTGAGGCGATGTGCGAAGTGTTTGGTTTTATCACGGGTAGGAGAAGATTTCTGTGTTTGTTTATTTGATTCATTGCTGCTCTTCCATAGGGAAACCTTAAACCTTAAACCCTAGCTAAACCCTAGCTTAACCCTAAACCCTAGCTTAACCCTAAACCCTAAACCTTAGCTAAACCCCAAACACTAAACCCAAGCTAAGCCCCGAACCCTAAACATTAGGCATAAAGATTTAAATGCTTATTTTCCTTTGTACGCTGTCTTCTGTTACTATGCAGGAGAGCTGCTCGAAATGAACAGCCAGCTGCATGCAAATGCAGATTTGTTGCTGCTTCCGGTGAGACAATACGGGGAGGAAACCGAGAAATACATACAAATAAGCAAAGATATAAACACAAATAAGCAAAGAAACAAACAAAAAACACACAAATGACCTTATAAACATAAAGGAATAAACATTCACAAACAGAAATACACAAAAAACAACAGCAATGAAATGCTTACAGACACCAGAAATGCATGCGAAGTGCAAATTAATATAAAACAAACAAAAAGAATTAGAAACAAAATAAAGAAGAAATAAACAAAAAAAATCAAAAACAAGCAAATCCTAAATAATGCATTCAGAAATTCAAATAAATGTTGAATAAACGAGTGTAAACAAAAAAATAAAGATATAATGTATCTATATGTGCATATTATTATACATAAATTAATATTATTTCTATTATTATGAATAAATATTCATTTTTAAAACATTTATTTCTTTTTCTCTCTTTTTCTGCTTCAGCCCGAACAAGGCGGTTGGCTCTTCACCGCAAAACCCGCAAAAAGAAATGTCTGTCAACCTGCACATACACCCCAAACCCTAAACCCTAAACCCTAAACCCTAAACCATCAACCTGCATACTCCCTAAAACCCGAAATTCCACATTTACCCCAAACCCTAAACTCTAAGCCTGAAACGCAGCATTGCTTCAAACCCTAATCACTGAAGCCCAAAGCTGCATATACACCACATATATATATATATATATATATATATATATATA